TTACTTATTTTTTCCTGATTCCATCTTCTTCTTGAATCTGATCATGCCTATTTTGGAGGAGTACATACCTCAGTGTACCATTCAAATACTGGCCTCAATTACCAGCAACAATTCTCCAACCTCTGATATAGATCTCTTAGGTTTCTCTTTCCCATTATTAACAGAAAAGGATAAGTGTTAGAGCAAAGTACATATTTGACATACAGAAAGTCCAGGTTCAATCTTCAGCTTAACAGCTTCAGGCATGGTTTGGAAAGATTCCAGACAATCATTGTTAATGGATATTTTTCCGTAATAAAATAAAGTCACATATCACATACTGTATGATGTAATATGGTTTGTTCATGAACCCTGCCAATGGTGATTTATTCACTACATCATAGTTAACCAAAACATAGTTTTAACGTGATATATGAGCCTAGCTAAATATCTCCTGCTTTCTTGCTCATTTCATACATTTGAAAGTTCCTATCTAGTCCTTCCAATTCTGAGCACTTGGCCCTTGTAATCAGTAGAAACACGTACCATTTATACCAATACAATGAAAGCTGCAGTTCACATTCTCAATCTTTTTTTGTCTTCTACTCTCTCTCTTTGCTCTTTTATGCTAGTGAACTGGTGGCTTTGGATCTGACTCCTGTTTTGTGAACTCTGTCCAGGGACCAACTAATTGCATTTCTAAATCAAGTGGAACCGCTTTGGGCTAGAAATACTCTTGATCTATTTTCCTTAGTGGGTATTTCTCAAAGGGGAATTTATCTTTCTGCAGAGAGGATTCTCACAGCTGGACAACCTATTAGGAAGCTTGCAAGGCCTCTGCTAGCCCTGGAGAACTGTAAGAATTTGTTGCTTAGGAATAACAACATTGTCAGGCATGTCCCCCAGTTGAATATGCAAGAATTTTTTCAAAGCCTATGACTACTCAAAATAGAGTCACTTAGAGATAGCTACGTACTGAAGGGTCTGTAAGAAAACGCCCAGTTTAATTTGTACCACAGACCCATTTCTAATAGAGGTAGTCCTCGAGTGCCTACCATAATGGAGCCTGCCCCTCGTGGTCGTAACTCATGATGGTCATAAGACGCGCCCTCCATATGACTGGCCTGATTATATGACTTTTTGCGGTGCTTGTTGAATGAATGCTGTGGTCGTTAAATGAACTAATGGTTGGCTCTGGTTGACACCTTTTTTAATGAATTAAGTATTGTTTTGCCCACTATTGGTAAAGCTAAAACACTGTTGTGGGAATTATAGCATTGCAGTTAATCCAGGAAAAGTTAGGTAGATTTTCCAAAAGGCAGAAGCTGGCAGTGTTAAGAATGAGAGGATTAAATTAATGTTTACAGTCAAGGTTATTCCCTCTAGCCTATGGAAATGCATGTGTTTTGGTTCAAAATTGAATGCAAAGGTGAAATTACAAGGATAATGTATTGTTAGCCTGCTGATATTTGAAAGTTTTTAGTACTAATACCCACCTTCGGTTCCTGGTGCCAGAGAATACCATCTCAAAATGCAAACCTTTAAATGGAGACTCCAGGATGTGCTGTTGTCAGGATCTGAAGTAGCAAAGTAATGTGCAGTTCAAAATTTAATTCTTCAACCAGCTGTGTTTTCAGATCATGCTAATTTCTGGAACTAGAAATTTACTACTGTTTATCATTTTGCAGTGGCAGTAGAAAGCGGGTCAGGCTGCAGTCCATTTTACACTTTGCACTATGATTTGCTTAACAGCAGTTTATTAAATAAACCACAGTGGGATCCACTGAGGAACAAATTGTGGTTTGCAGACCACAATGGCTGGGTTCACAAGTCCTAACCCCAAGCCAAGCCAAGCACGTGACTGCTTAGCATGTTACCAAGAGCGCAATCTTTCCTGTAGCTGAGAAGGAAAGGAAGAATGCATCAGCAAGGCAACACAACAAAATATTTCACACCACTAACATAGCACTCACCAAAGGTAAGAACATCACGTTAAGCCACAAATTTGAAATCCAGTTGGTGAGGTTCATGCATTGCTCCAACACATAAATCAGCCCTTACAAACAGCAAGTGTCTTAACCTAAGCACCACTCAGTGGCTTAACACAATGTAAACTATGGTCCCAAATCATTCTTCCCATGCTCCATTCTTTCCTTAAGAGGCCATCCTTTTACTTAGAATAGGCTCTGGAGGGGGAGTGTGTGTGTGTGTGTGTGTGTTTGTGTGTGTTGATTTCTTGCAAGAGGGTTGCATCTTTGCAGCTGTGGCTTATGGGAGGCCAGTGCATCTGGCTCAGCCCATCACTATGATGGAAATTGTGTTGAAGTCAGAGGATTCTGCCTTCTGTGACCCTGGTCCAAACAATTTGGCTGGCCCCTCTCTGTCTGAGTTGGACTTTGTCCTTTTTCCTCCCACTTATAATTTGCTGGCTGAAAGAATCTTTTTTTAAACTAGAAAACATGGTAGGTAACCTCAATTCTGACAGTGGTCACTCCAAGGTTCTTGGCTTCACCACAATGACTAAAGTAAATACTGTCTTGCTACTCTTAAATCTGTGCTATTTTCACTTTGGCGGGGAAAAGCAAGAGGAGCAATTGTGCCACCTTGTGGAGACTCAGACACCTGAAGTTGCTAGTGAATGCAGAGAGGAGCATAGAGCATCTCTCCTGTTATCTACTGCAACAGGCATCCCCAAATCCCGGTCCATGGACCGGCACCGGGCCACAGCATGCCAGCAATTGGGCCAGGCAAACAAGAGAAGCCCCATCCACAGGATGCAGGCAGCGTGCACCCCCTCCAGACCGTGGAAAAATCTATCGGGTCCCTGGTGCCCAAAACGTTGAGGGCCACTATATTAGAGGCACAACCAGAGCCATTTTAGTACTAATAATAATGTCTCCTAAATAAGGAAACAACATTCTGTTTAACCAAAAATAGTTAGAAAAGCTCTGTTAATTCTTAAGAGTTTGCGTGTGCTGTTTTCTCCTCTATGTAAGAAGATGGGAGATAGGCCACTGGAATAGAAACAAAAGCATGTCCTGCTTGATTGGGTGACGATAATTAATGCTTATAACCCTAATGCTAGATTTGCCCATTGGGGGAGTGTTTCTCCACCGCAGCAACTTGCATGGATTTCAACTCCCAGAATTTCCAGGCCAATATGCATTTGGATCCCTTACTCTTTTTACCTAGGAAAGGCATTTGGGATTTTCAGGCATAATATATGTGATTTAGCCACACATCACAATGCAGGCCACAATATACAGGGTAATTTGACAAAATGTTTCTACAGATAGTCCTCAACTTGCAACCACAAATGGGGCCAGAATTTCCATTGCGAAATAGGACAGCTGTTAAGTGAGTTGCATCTGTGTTTACAACCTTCTTTATCATAGCAGTCAAGTGACTTACTGCAGTTAAGTGAATCCAGTGTTAAGTGAATTGACTTTGCTTTTTGGAAACCAGATGGGGGTCACAAATAGCGACCGTGGGATGTAGCCACTGTTGTAAATACATGTCAGTTGCCAAGTGCCTGAATTTTGATCATGTGACTTGGGGGTGTGTGTGCTGCAACAGTTGTAAATGTGAGGACTAGTTGTAAGTAACTTTTTTCAGTGCCTTAGAGTGGTCATTAAATGAAAGGTTGTAAATTGAGGATTACTCGTATAGTTGGGCACCAGAAACTCCCAAGTTGAGAGCCTTAACATCTCTTTGCTCCCATCTAAACATAGTTTTGAGGCCTGGAAGCTACTGTATGGCCATAGAATCAAATTAAAGCAGCAAACAAGAAAATGTACTTTTTTAAAAAAAAATCATTACAA